GCCGGTTAAGCGTCCGACTTCGGCTCAGGTCGTGATCTTGCGGTTTGTGGGTTCAAGCCCCGCGTTGGGCTCTGTGCTGACAGCTCAGAGCCTGGAGCCTGCTTGGGATTCTGGGTCTCTCCCGCTGTCCCTCGGCCACTCACGCTCTGTCTCTCAAAAATAAATAAACATTAAAAAATTAAAAAAAAACCCCACATTGTTTGTATTTGTTGAATCTTCTTTAAGGGAATCTCTTTTAAATCTTTAAATGACTCACTCATGTTATCTTGGCCATGTACGTATGTAGGTATACACATACTGTTTGAAAAGTTAGTTATTTTGACAGCATTCAACTGGACAAAAGGGAGTAAGTATATATAAAACCTCATCTGTGTATGTATGCATGTATCTATCCATCCATCTGTCCATCCGTCCGTCCTTCATACTCATATGTACAGCAGTTGGGGTTACAGGTTTTGTATTTACATCCATATAGACCATTTTAACAGATACCATTATATATGCATATAAATAATGAGGTTATATAAGAGGCTAATTTATTTCCAGATGTTCAAGTTGGACAGACTCCGTTTGGGGAAAAAAAAATCAAAACAAAATACTCTGACTCAGAATATCTAAAATGTACTTTTAGTAGTTCAGGATTAATCAATGCATAAAATATGAGGCGACCACAAATATCCAAGGCGGGGAAAAAAAAAAACAAACAACCCTGTGAAAATGGCCAAAGTAAATTATCAGGGAATGCCAACAGCCTCGGTTTGTATGCAGGCATTTTCTAAAGTGAGGACGGGGTAAGAATGGTTTTTAGCTTTCTATAAGTTTTTAAGAAACTAGACACAATTTGCCTAAGACAAGTGTCTCTGACCCTGAAGCTTTCAATTCAGGGAAGTGAGCTACATGAGAACGTAAGAATAAGGTTTAAGGGTCTTAATAAAAAGTTTGTCACTTTGGGAAAAACGCACTCCTTACTAATTCAGTTTATGATTACACTTTTTTCCCTTTAAATATAAAGGTGTCCGAATATCTTTCTAATATAGTATGTTACATTATAGCTGTGTTTTCCCTCATTTTATTATCTCCGTGACACTTAGGGCTGTCTGCAATTTCCTTGTTCGTTGTCACCTTCTCCCAACGGACTGGGGACTCCTGAGAGCAGGGAGCCTTACAGTACTGGTCACCGTTATGTTAAAAGCAACTCAAGGGTGCTGGCTTCCTGATGGATGCTCAGTCCACAGCGATCGAAAGAATGCAGACCGCTGGGGTCCTCTGATCTAGAAAACCAGAGTCCTAGAGAAACAGGAGGAGGAATGAACATTTCCTCTCTCCAGGCATCTGGCAATAATCATCCTAATACATCGTCCTCACATCTTGCATAAACATTTTTCAGTAATAATGAAAGAAAATGAGTTTTTTTTTTTTTTAATCGCCTACTCGGGACAATTTTATATCAAGACAAAGACTAGAGAAATTTGCATAGAGGAAAACATCCAGGTGATGGAAAAAGAAAATAAGACGTCTCTTGGAGGGATAGGTTTCCTAGGGGGGTTCAAAGGGAGACGTTCCCAACAGACCCACAGTTTGGTCAGGATGGCGTGTGCCCCGCTGCTGTGGGCTGGGAAACACCCTTGTACAAGCCAGTGAGCTCTGCAGAGAGGCGTGCAGCTTCAGCGACTGCCAGGACAGGGGGCTGCTGAGGTCATGCGTTCTTCAAGCAAAGAACAGACCACGAACACCCTACCTGATAAGCTGGGCGTTGTCATGTGATTTTCGAGGTAGAAGCTTCATCTTTCTCCAGTCCAGGAATTCGTGGAGGCTTGTGAACGGGTCCTGACTAATCGAGCATTTGTCGATGTCATTCCATACCTCGACGCCCACCAGCACTATCCGAATGTTCAGTGGTCTGTAAAACTGACCGAGACAGGCATCCTCTGGGGATCACATTCATAAGAACTTCAAACGAAGGCTAGTACATATTTGCATGTTGTGAACCTCACTGACCCGGGTGAGAAAAATCCCTCTCTGCTCCCTTGTTCCTGTGGTGTTAGAATTTAAGAAATATTTGCAGTGTCTGATACAAAGTGATGTGTTAACTGGGTTTCCAATGTGGTTGGCCAGTTAGATGCCAAAGTTAATAGGCTTTTTGACGTCTGCCCTTATTGGTATGGAAGCACACGTTCCACACAGTTCACTGGTGATTTAAAATGTGCATATAGATGTGTTACTATTGCTAACATAGTCACATTATGCCTAAAGACAGCCAGTTAATAACTATGGCAAGAAAAACAATGAGGGAATTAGGCTTTTTCAGACACTGCCAAGGACAATAATTTGTTCCTTTTAAGCAAAACGTTCTACCTACGAGTTGCTGAAAATGAATCTGTATTAATTTTTTTTAGCAAAGACTCAGACTTGGCTGACACAATCACATTCTGTGCCTTGTAACCAACCTAGAAGGTTCTAATCAAATGAACAAATCAATATCTTTCGGAATAATAAAGGGATAAGCAGAACCCTTCTTCCGGAACTTCGTTGACCATTCTCCTCACAGCCAGAAGCTAGCTCACCAGAGGTGTCACAGGAAAGATCTTCTAAAGTAAGTTCCTCATTTACAGCCTTGTGATAGAAAGTCTCAGGTACCCTGCCCAAGGCAAGTATTGTCATTGCTATTCTGTCTCTCGTCTGTACACATCCCTGACTTCAACCTACAGCTCTCCCTCCACAAGCAGATCATCCTGGGTCAGAGGTAGGACGAGCAATTCTTCTAATGGCTAAGGGATAGTTTTATCCAGGGCGAGATGAGTGGTCAGGGCAGAGGGAAGAACTCCGTGTTGCCCCCAACTACTTTCCTGCCCCTTAAGTGCGTTATGCTAAGGAGGTGGCTCTGTGCCCAGGCCCCGGGGGTTGAGGACACGGGATCACCTGGCTGGCTGTAAAATCTTCCAACGCCCATGAGGGGTGAGGTGGTACACAATGGGAAGGTCCTCATTTTCTGAGACGCCCGGTAACCAGGCAGAAACAGGTGACTGATGACAGCAGCCAAAGTTAAGCTCCAGGTGTTAGCTCGTCCCATTTTTCCTCTACCAGGATCCGGGCCAACAAGTAACACAAGTCACAGAAGCTCCGCATTTGATGGTTAAGCCCCATTCCAATGTGGTGAGCCAGAGGGCAATCAGCTACCCAAGTGTGAGCCTCTGACCCTGGTGCTGAACCCGCGGAGGGCAGGCTCGCCGTTTCCCCTGCTCGTCTCCCCGCGGTCATCTGGTGAGCACAAGGGTATGACTGGGACACAAGCTACATCGCAGAACGTCAACTGGGTTTCAAGCAGATGACAATTATGGGCATTACATTAATAAGTTCATGAGACAATGCTTTGACCCAAATGCTGCCCAACAGCTTGTTTTTAATCAAGAATTGCTCGGTCTGTGATATGTGGAATTTAAGAAACAAAACAGATGAACATATGGGAGGGAAGAAAAAAAGAGAGAGGGAAAAAAACCATAAGAGACTCTGAATGACAGAGAACACACCGAGGGTGGATGGAGGGAGGTGGGTGGGGGATGGGCTAGGTGGGGGATGGGCAGGAAGGAGGCCACTTGTGATGAGCCCTGGGTGTTGTATGTAAATGATGAACCACTGAAATCTACTCCTGAAACCAATACTGCAATTAACCAATAGTTCATTAAAGGAAATAAGAACTTAAAGTAATTAGAGAGAGAGGGGGAAAAAAAAGCATTGCTTGGTCTTGTCTGTGGTATCCACCCGTAAGCTCCCAGCCCAGGCTTCCTGGGCTGAATGAAGTTCCCGGACTCCTCTGGAATCCTGACGGCATGCGTCTTGGCTGCTGCCTTTTGACAGAGGGACCACACTTCCCACTGTGTCAGGCACAAAGGTAACAGTGATCAGGAGGCAGATGGGTAAGAAGTCCAGTGCCTATGCCCACACCGCCTTGCTATGCCACAACCTCAGAGCCAATGCCCTGTGTGGGCTTCAGGGTTGTCACCTGTAAAGGGGACACTGTTTGCCTCCGGCGAGGGCTGTATGGAAGGGTCACTAAGGTCTGTATGGGACTACGTGTCATTGTTTCTCAGAGCTGACGTTGGTGCTGGCCCACCAAGGAGCTTTTCGGACCATGACGGGTTACCATTTCTGCTGGCTCTCTCGGGTCACATCCTTACAACAGACTTCACACGTCAGCATATCACACACGGTCCTTCCTCTCCAAATCGGCGTCACTGAGCAAGTGTCGTGCGTGCTACTCCTCCTGAGTCATCATACACAATCCTGCCTGCTGGGAGTGTTCTTCCCAGGCTGCTGATGGCTGATACCCGTAACCACAGCGGACACTCAGCGAGCACTTACTACGTCCTCGGCGCAGCACTCAGGACTTTCCACGCCGCGGCTCTCTTAGCGCTCACGACGGCTCCATGAACCAAGAGTTAGCATTAACCCCGTTTTACACTCAGAGACACCGAGACCTGGAGGCTCGAGGCACGACTGGCGTGGCCGGGATGTGGACACGAGCAGAGTGGGCCTGGTGCCCAGATTTAAACCGCTAGGTAGCACGGCCACTTCTGTGCGAGTGCTCAGGCTCCCTTCCAAGATGACCCACTGTGACTGCAGGCCTGGGGAGACGCTCGACGGGGGCCTGGCAGCTGTCTGCCTGGCCCACGCAGCCCAGGATGGGGGTGGACACGATCCAAGAGCGGTGGCATCGATTCGCCCACGAACGCAGCGGCGACAAGGATTTGCTCGGCTCCTGCTGAGTGCCGGGCTCAGCAGGGGCACCAAGAACAAGGATGAGGGTCCCTTGCCCTTGCTCAGAGGTCAGCAAGAGGCTCAAGGCTGGGGACTCCTGGCCATTAGGACAGTTCACTCCAACAGACTGAACTCCCAAGAGAGGGCAGAAACCAGGGATTCAGAGGGGGCTGTGCTTGAGGGCTCAAGGGAGGCTTTCTGGAAGAAACGGATCTGAAAAAAATGGGTGGAATTAAAGGGAAGCCCCTGAGGGGTCCGACACGAGAACTCGCATCCTTCAGGCAACCGGCTCGGGAGAGGGGGAACAAAGACTCCCGTGAGAGGGGAGGTACCTGCAGAAATGAAACGCACGGAAGACCAGCCCTTCCAGAAGTAGGTCACAGAGGGTCAGCGCTAACGGACCTGCGGCTGGTGCTAACTTCTTGAGAAGACGTGGGACAGACTGGAGGTGAGAGGTTAAAGAGGCGAAGCCTGGGCGATCACACGCGTCAGGGCTCTGCCCTGCCCTGCCCTGCGGGATCAGGACCTGGGGAACATCCCTCGGCTCCAGCGCCCAGGCCTCGCTCTCGCCTCTGAGCATCAGACCCGCCTCCTGTGTTTTACTTACGGGGGTGGGGGGTGGGGGGGAGTGGCCTGGAGGTTTCAGAAGGTCACCTT